AAAAGAACGTCAACATATTCCTTTAGTGTCATGCGGTTAAATGCTTCACACATAGCCAGTAACAAAGCACGCCCTAAATCAGACATAGCTTCGTCTGGTATTGTCGCCTTACATGCTCGTATCCATTCCTGAAGCCAAAATGTGATGAAAACTGCGTCATGTTTTTCCGACAACATTTGGTACACAGGAAGAGTTTTACCCTCAAAATTGATGGTAATCGTGTATAAAAATATGTGGCCAGTTTTTCGCCCTGGGATAATTTCAAATTTTTTTACCACCTTACCCGTGGCATCTAGACAAATTCGAGAAAATCCTTTTCTTACTCGGCAGTATTCTTTTTCTACGAAAATTTGTTCTGGGCTGCAGTAAAAAACGTAAAACTTCTTTGCTCCAATCTCGCGGATAGCATTGCTGTATCGGATGTCTTGTAACATATTGCGAATGCTAGTTATCATGTCCATTTTCACGCCTGATTTTATGCCAAGATCTTCCTTGTTGTGTTCCATCTTTGCTTGTCTGTAAATATGACATTTTTGTACCCACGGAGGTTCGTTCTCTCCAAATTTCATATTCTCCGCAAGTAATTCCTGCCGATATCCTGCGGCTCTTCTTCGTTTTAATTTTCGTCCAATTAATTTCCTTTCAGGACCATTTAATGGTCTCTTAACTTCTTCATGATAATCATTACGAGTATCACGCGTTGTGATTATCAAATGTAGTTCTCCGTTGACCGGTTTTTTGTAGGCAACGCCAACAATTTTATTATTACATTTTTTGCTTTTACATAATCCTTTGAACTTCAAATAGAAAGATCCAACGGCATAATTTTCATTTTCATCCTGTTCTATGCGTACGTATAACCATTTGCCCAGAAAAGCACATGGGAATTTGTACATATTCCAAAATGCTTTTGTGATTACATTTGGCCAAACCCATGATTTCAATCTTTTCTGTTGGTGATTAGAAGTCTGATCGGGCTTTATCTGTTCCCACTCAGTGGGTGAAAGAACTAGAGGGAACGAATCAACACCAATGTCAGAATCTCCATTCTCGTCATCATGATAAGATGATTTGTCCGATTCAGAATCCTCTGATAGTTCATCAATGATATCATCTTCGATGGTCGACTTCGATGGTAGTGGTCTTGGAGGTTGGATATTTATACCCAAATTCTGACGAGCTGCTTCGAGACTTCCATTTTTATTATCTCTTACGTATGTATAAACTGAATGCGGTTTCCATCTTCCATTGAGCTCTTTGCTCATGTCTTTCCAAACTTTTGCAGAACTCGAAGGAAAATTGTTGGTATTAAAATATTGCATATATTTCTGAATTAACAGAATTGCTTCTCGGTTAGGAACACTACAAGGCCGTCCCATCTAAAAAAAATGAAGAAAAAATATTATATACTCTCAATATTCATTACAGCAATCAGAAAAATAACTTATTGAATGCCCCGATAGGAAAACATTTATAAATTATATGACGAAATCTTAATGAAATTTGGAATGCTACAATTATGTCTCTATATTTAGCAACAATACATGGAGAAATTTAGACCTTTCATCAAATATTGATAAATATTTGCACAATTTATTTCTAAATAGTATTTCAGCAAACAAGCAGCATTATGGCAAATCTTAGTGGAATGATGGCAAAATTAAATTTGGAAAGAAATTACCTCTAATAATTTATAAATGTATTTAAGTTTTATTATTTTTAGAATATTTTGTGAAATAAAATAAATCAATATGTATGCTTTAAAATGTACAATTATTCTGAAATTATAATTTTGAAATGTTATGACATGAAATATTACACAATTATAATAAATATAACACAATAATTGTGCGTAAATTATACTCCAAATTGAATATATCAATTTTTGGGCAAATATCATTTAAAAATTTTATCCCGACAAAACCGCTACGTTATGGCGAAGCACATTATTAATGCAATTATTGTGAAATTTTTTCCTTTCGTGATGCAGTTAGTGTATAATATTTGAGCAAATATCTTTTAGAAATTTTATCCATTTTCCTATTGGGATGGATCCAGATTATTATCGTTTAATGTGGCAGATGTGTTATGATCATGGAAAATTGTCAAAGATTACTACACTATTTCACTATTTTTTTAAACGAAAACTTACTCTCACGGTGATACATTCAATACAATATACTTTCTTTTTTATTTGAACATCCAGAACACTTTCACTCAATAATGAGTTCTATAATAATACTAAACACAGGAGAAGAAAACGAACAGAAGAAATTACATAGTCTCAATAGTCTTTTGTTTTTATTGTTTGTCTGATCTGGGTTGTGTCGATAAATCCGTTAAAATTCCGGTCGGTATATAATTCTCCGAAAATTGTTATTTATTGAAAAAAATAAAAACAAAGTTTGGAAACGAAATTTGGGAATGCACGTAACTTTTGTACCTTTTACTAGACTTTAAATAACCTAACGTCATCAATTCCTTCTTTTACAACAAAATTCGAATTTTATGCATGTTTTACTATAACTAGACACTACAGACGCGCGCTACGCGCGCGCTATTTATCTTTAACATTTCACTATTAACCCTATTATACACAACTGTCAAAATATACAATGACAGCTGCAAATGAAGTAAGCGCAGCAAGAGAACCAATCGGCATCGCGGAAAAGCGGCAACAATAAACTTCACATCTCCTTTTTAGAAGAGGATTCAAAATTAGAATGGTAGATTTTATTTTATATTTGATGATATTTGATTTTGTTTCTTGGATATACGTCGCGTGACTAATGCCAAAAGAGCGGATGAGCCAAAATTGAATTTGTTATGAATAAGACATCTGCACGTTATTTAACTGTATAACAAAAACTGATAATCACAGCTCAAAAAAATAAAGTGGCATTAAAAAGCTGAAGAAATTTTCCATCAAAATAAGTATTCGATCGCTAAATCGAAAAATAATTAAATGTGCGTAAGTTTATAGGCTGTTTTGACATTAGTCACTATATATTTTCATTATTGTATAGATTTAAATATAATTAGGACTAAAATTTTTTATATACAAATAATAACTTACCAGCCTACCATGTTTAATGATAACTGACACTGATTATCCTCGACGTCTGTATGCCATATGAAAAAAAGCCAATATTTTCCAGTCGAATTTTTCTAGGTAATTCCACAATGCTTTTTTAGAACTCTTCGTTTCACAGTGTGACACCTATCTTAACAAGACAAAATTAATTTCTCTATTATTAAATTATTTATTATTAAATTATTAAATTATTAAATTAATTATTATCTAATTTTACTTTGCGCATTGTTTATGTAACCATAGCGAACAAATCTAGCCCTCTGTGACGGCAAAAGAGGAAATGTTGGCCGTGCCGCGAGTGCCACTATAGCCCCGACCGTTTGAAGCGCACCATTCTCCCCGAAAGATTCCTGCAGGCTAAGTGCGATTCTCTGCAGAGATCCATCATCCTAATAAAACAGTATGCATATCAATTGTTGAACTTGTTAATAAAACTATATATTTCCGTACCTCTGGCGGAAAAGTGTTTATTTATGAGATGTCTAAGAGAACTACTAAAGCACGAGCGTGTTGATTAGCGACTGGTGACTTCAATTGTTGCAAGATTCTGCGAGAAAGCAAAAAATAAGCTATCAAAACTCGCGCAAATCTTGTAATTTAATTAAATGTGAAAACACGTTAGCTACCTATCGAGAACTTCTTCGGAATATAAGACAACCAACGACCTGGAGCACTGCAGCACTTCGTAATGTGTAAGAACATCCCGAGCTGCTTCAAAGGGACAAATACTAACAAATTCGGACAGAGTTTGATGGATATTCTCCATAAATGGGCGGATTGCCTCTGTGTTATTTCCAGTCTCGACAGAACTTAAAATCATAGCTAGTAAGCCGATATCCAATTTCGCCCTAAAAAAATTGAGATTTGTTGTTGATTAGACTTCGGAGTTAAATAGTATAATACTTATTAAGTGTCATAAAAGTTTTATTACCTTAGATATTTTTCATTTTTACTCCAGGAGGATTTGCCATTGCTCCGTTAGCCACCTAAGATGTTGCCCGCTCAGCACGTGGCTCACGTTATTTTGCACGGACGTGGGGTTGGACTTTGCTGAGCATATATGCTGCTTTCAGCATTACATGTAGCATAATAACCTAAACAGAAAATGATACAAAAATTATACATTTCAAATTACAAATATGTTATGCGTAATGATACATTTCGCATTACATATTTCTTTTGTGGAGTTCTAAAATAATATAATTAACTTTACCTATACATACCAAGAAAATGCAACAATTAGCGCTAATAATGAATCCATTTTAGGAAAGTGAACGTTTCTTTTATGCTTTAGCAGCACTTTCCACATTCTCAGCTGTGATTGGATGACTCACAAACCATGGTAAAACTGTCCAGCTATCGCACATGTGACATGTAACTTGATTTTCAGATAAAATCATTATTTCCCAAATGTTTAAAACATTACAGACGTGTTTCCCAAATGATTTCACGTTGATTTGAAAAGAAAAAAATTGTTTTTAAAATTATGTCTGCTAACTATACATTCAATTAATTTTTATTAATTATAAATAAACTATTATTTCCTAAACTATGAAACTATATTCCTAAACTTGCCCAAACGATTCCCAAACTATTAAAATAATCAATAATAAGAAATATCAAATTTGTCTGCTAAGTATATCAAGGTGGTATTTGGTACCACAGGAGGTCGATTGTGCCTCCGGGTGTCGGCCTACTACCGACGTTTTGACGAGAGGTATCGAGGAATAATTACACACTCGATTACTGCTGATAATAGGTTTGTTCTTTTCGGCTGAACTCGTTGCACTAGTTCAAGAAGTGTGCACTGAAGCGTTCTTTTCGACACTAGAGACCAGTAGTGACGTCATGTAATGCTGTTCTTTTCAACAGTACAACCGAACGCAGTGTAACAGTTCACTGTACTTCTTGCCCCAGGTCTTGAGCGCAGGGTCAGCCAGTGCAGTGCAGAGTTTAGCAGTCAATTTGGAATAGTAAACAGAAATTCATAACCTAAAGATAAAATATTAAAGAAATATTTTCTCAACCGAGGACAAACGGAAAAAACCCCCTATTAAAGAAATAAACGAGAAAAAATGGAAGACCAAGAATTTGCTGTGATATCAAAAGATTCAAGTGGAAACATTTTAGTAGATGTAAACGGATTTGTCACATGTACTTTGGAAGGTACGAAAATTAATTATCTAAACATAAATATAAGTAAATATAAAAACTTTAATATATATATAAATATATAGTATTTCAATTAATTTAATATAATAAATACATTTAATGTAACAAATTATACATATAATGTTTGTTGATATTTATTTTTTAAGGAGGTCTGCAATTTCAAGTACCATATAAAGAAATAGATTTTACTTGTGATGGATTAGAATGTATTGTTGACAATAGAAAAGTATATGTAAAATTACATGAAACTACAGACAATACATCAATAAATAAAGAAAATATAATATCTCCTCCAGTAATACAAAATGAAAATAATACGATTATACAAGAAAAACGTAGGATAGATGATACTTTTGCTTGGACCGATGCGAGTACCAAATTGTTTTTAAGTATATACAAAGAAAAAATAGAACTTTTGATAAACCGAAAAATCAAAACAAGAAAAATATTATGGGACAAAATACGTGAAGTTATGCAATCAGAAGGATACAATGTTACAGTTATTCAAATCGAAAACAAATATAAATCTCTTGAAAGGTCATTTAAAAACATGATTACAAATAATAAACAGACGGGCAGATAGCGTACAACATGTCCATATCAAGCGTAAGTTTCAATTTTTATTGTAATTTGAAAACTTGTAATATATAAAGGATTAATATATAAATTAACATTATTTATTATTATAGGGAATTAACAGAACTTTTAGGTTCTAAGCATAATGTAGAACCTTTGGCTGTTTCTGGCAGAGAAGGTTTAATTTTACGAGAAGATGTGAGAGCAAGTACATCTCAGTAGGTTTATTTGATATTTTTCTTACTTAAGAAAAAAATATAAATAAATATTAATATACAGGGGATAGCCCACACATAATTCTTTACAGCTTGATATCTTGGAAACTATTTTATCGATTTTAAAGGTTTTGAATGTTTAGGTTTTGAATTAGATCTGAAGACCTTTCAGATCTACACAATTCAAGACCTAAACCTTTTAATGAAATAGTTTCCAAGATATCAGACTAAAGAGTTATGTGGACTACTCTGTATAATAATTAATATGTTATTAACATTTAATGAACATAAATCTATATGTTATATTATTGTAGATTTATTTCTGATCCAAATACAAATTCAGATGAAAATTCAAACATACTATCTCATAATATACAAGAGGAAAATGATAATGCAATCGAAATAGGAATGACGAGGGACACTACTACAGGAAGTAATTATACCAGCAAGGTATAATGAAATATATTCCATTAACGAGAAAGACTCTATTTTTATATTCGACAACGTTTGGTTAATGTCGTGACAATTCGACCATTGGTTTTGAACCCATCCATGGTCGAAAAAGTCTTGACGATTAATCTGACCAAAATCAATGGTCGAATTGTCACGACATTAGCCAAACGTTGTCGAATATAAAAATAGAGTCTTTCTTGTTTATTAATTATTGGCGAAACAATTACATATAATTTTCTATATTTCATTAATGTAAAAAAGATAATTATATAATTTATAATAATATAATAATATAATAATATAATAATATAATAATATAATATAATTATATAATTTCAAACATGTTACATGTGTACATATATATATATTTTTTATAGATTATTACAAAGCAAAGCGAAAAAAAATAGGGAGTACTGCACGAATAGTAGAAAAGTGTCAAGAAACTGTTGAAAAGTTTATAAATGATGCTGCGCAAGAAAAAGAAAATAAATTAGAAATACAAAGGCAAATACTTACAGAGTACAAAGAAATGAGAATTAGTTACGAGCAATTTCTGAAGAAAATACAAGAACAATTAGAAACTTCAAATAAATTAAGAGAAGAAAAAAATATGCTTTTAAAGGAACTTATAAACAGACAAAAATAGACAAAACAGAACTTATAAACAGACAAATAGAAATAGGATTTAAACCAAAGAAAATAAAGAAACCAAAGGAAGAAAGGAAGATATATAAATTACTGTTTGTTTTGTTTATTATGTTTAAGTAATATTTACGTTTTTTTAAATTTTATTTTCCTTATAATTTACAAATGTAAAAAATATGTTTTGGCGAGGGAAAGAAAGAGAAAAGGCTACGTTTAATTATAGAATGTAACCGGCGATTGTAAAACCAGAATTATTTTGGTTGATGCGTGAGCACGCGATAAATTTTATCAATACGAAAATAAGATAAATATCCTAGAACAGGTTTTCAATTGGGCGAGTAAGCGCGCAGTCTGCCACCGTGGAAACAATTATTTAATTTAACCGTTATTCGATTTTCTAGTTTTCACACATAACATAACACATTACAAGTTTAAGAACATTAATTAGAAAATGACAATGCGATAAAGTCGAGCGGTCTCACGGGACTAGATCATGACGAATTAAGCATTCGAAAACAAGTGTGGCTAGCTAGAATTAATTAACACAAAACTCTAAATTGGTTCGATCCACCATCGATTCGCGACTGAATCCGAGTCAGGACGGAGTTTATTATGTTTAAGTAAAATTTACGTTTTTTTTTAATTTTATTTTTCTTATAATTTACAAATGTAAAAAATATGTACAGATAAAAGTTGGTTACAAAATATTTGAAATATAATAATGCATTTTTTATTATGTTTACTTGTTTATTGAATATTTAATTGGCGGCATATTTCGTCGCGAATATGTATTCCAGTTTCATTTTCTCTTGGTATTTTATTAATGCGCTGTTCAATATGTTGACCTTGCACTTCAATATCTGGATATTCATCCTCCATAGGTGCTTCAAAATATTCTACTTCTCTTGCGTTCGCCATATTATGAAGTACACAACAGGCGTGTATAATGCGGACCATTCTTATTATATCGCGTAACTTAAAATGATATAATTGCCTAAACCGTTGTTTCAGACAACCAAAAGCGTTCTCTATAACTACGCGACAAGAACTCAATTTTTGGTTAAAATTTCTTTGTGCATGTGTTAAATGCCCATTATCTCTGTATGGGACAATTAATTGTTTTAGGCAGGGATACGCACTGTCCCCTAATAGGTAGTAATTATCTAAAAAAAGATTAATAACATTTCAATTAATAACTTAGCTGTCAATCGTTCTTATAATTTTAATCACGTTTTATTTAATGTACTTTGTAACTAACCTCCGCAAAGTTCACGAAGATCATTACGAATTGGTGAGTTTCTAAATACCCTTGCGTCATGAACGCTACCAGGATATCCGACGAATACATCAATAAATTTCATGTTGTGATTGACTACGCCTTGAAGATGCAACGAAAAATATTGTTTCCTATTAATATACGAGTTAGGATCTTCTATAGGTTTATCTACTCTAATATGAGAACCATCTATAGCACCTAAAAAAAATTAAAAAAACAGATATCAAACAGAATGAAACAAAATCAATAGAAATATCAATATAAATATGAACAGAAATGTAAATATCGATTGAAATAATAAAATACCGATTACACCAGGAAACTCTTTCTCATAGCGATAATAAAAAGCTGTTTCTTCTTTTTCATCTGCAGTTGGATATCGAATAATATTGGGTGCTAAAGACATAATGAAATCAGTTACTCTAGTAATAATTTTATGTAAAACGCTAATAGTTATCCCAAATCAATCAGCCACATCGCGATAACCGGCACTTTCATGGCCTACAAACCATAGATAACAAAAAATGTGTTTTTCTGCAGTTACTTTTAAACGTCCTCTTTCTGTAAAAGTAATATATGCGTTATGATCGTATTCTCTTTTTAAAAGATTATTAAATAAAAACAATTTTTTAATATACCCGTACCTTGTAAAGAAGTAAATATCTCAGATACATGGAATTGGTCTATTAAATGGTATGCTACTTCTCTTGATAAACGGAAGTGCATAATAAAATCGATGTTGTTATAATTTCGAATAACGTTTTCCACATAATTATGTATTCTTACGTGTTCTATTCGTTGAATCATTCCAAGAATTGGATGAAATATTTGCAATTCATTGTAATCTAAATATAAAATATAATTCAGGTTAGAGGTTAGATTACCTACATTTTTTTAAGATTTTTATTTTGTTCGTAATAAATTTGTTATAAATTTCGTATTACCTTCTTCAACATTATCTTCATTCAGAATTGGTGGTAATGATGGTAATAAATAAAAATCTTCTTCATCTGAAGATGCAAGTTCTAACTCTACAATTCTATCATCTACAACGTGCGCCATTGTATTGAATTCTGCACTATTGTGTTCCTTTCACTGTTAGGGCCTAAGCAGAATGGCTGTTTTATAACCTTAAGGCAGTGTTTTATGCCTTAAGTCTTTGTCTTATGTAACGCACAATATTGTGTTAATGTTTCTTGTCTTGTATACGTCGCGTATACTACACAAGACAGGAAACATTAACACAGTATTGTGCGTTACATAAGACAAAGACTTAAGGCATAAAACACTGTCTTAAGGTTATAAGACAGCCATTCTGCTTAGGCCCTAACAGTGTTCTTGCACTCATGAAAATTTGTGCTGTCCTTGCCTGTACTGCTGCAGTTCCAGTGCCTGAACTAGTGCAACGAGTTCAGTCGAAAAGAACAAACCTAATATAATACTTACCACGCAACAGCCACGAGAGTCAGTACAATTCTAAAGCCCCTTGCACAATGCCAGGCAACAGGCAATAGGAACAGGGAATAGAAATCAGAAATCATGTATAAATGCAGAATAAACAGTGACACAGGCAATAGACACAGAGTTTCCGTTACGTTGGAAATTCTGTGCCTATTGCCTATTGCCAACCAATCATAGCATTTGAATTTTTTAGGTTGTAATTAACGATTTTTTGGTTATTTCCTGTTCCTATTGCCTGTTGCCTGGCATTGTGCAAGGGGCTTAACGGTCGTCGAGACTCAGTTCTGCCAACCTCGTAACTCTCAACCCTCTTGCTAGCGCAGGAGAGGGGGCTGACCTCTATGAAGTTGGCCGGACAACTTCAACGTATCGAACTTTCATTAATTGGAATCGATTGGTGGTCGTTTGGTGGTCTTTGGTAGTCTAGTCCGATCGTT